ACTCCTCTGGCTTCCTTAGAAATTTGCTACTGTAAAGAAAGAGAAACTGAAAGTAGAGCAAAATCAAACCTAAGCCTGTGAAGTGAGGATGCCCTGGAAATATTGAACTTTGAAGCAGTTGTTTTGCTCATATTTTCCTGTCCTTTTCCCCCCCTCCACCTAAACAATAATTTAATGTCAGATTCTTTGATAGTTTTAGATTTGTCCTATTTTCCACTTGCATGAAAATATGCCTTGACAAGATTGTCACATGGTCACGTTACTTTTAACTGGCTCACAAAAAGAAAATGCTATACTGTACATATTAAGTTAAAGAAGTATAGGTATCTAAACTTAACTTGGGTAAACTCCACATTTTTTTCTCCTCAATTAAAGATTAGCCATTGGAGGGCATGGATGTAATGCCACATAAATTAAGTTCGGTATATCCATAGCAGTTCTGAAAAGCTCCAAACAATTTTTGCTCTAACTTCTCTTACTATAGCTCAGGAATATATAGCATGTGTTCACTTATTGTAAGGTGGTGCTTCTGTCTTTTAATTTGCATTTTCTGTTTGGGTCCAGCCAAAACGAAAATAACTTTCAATAAGAGTAATTAAAAAAAAAATGTTTTTAAAATACAATATTCAAACAATCGGAGTTTATTTTACCACGTTTTCCAAAGAAATATCTTTTTGGGTGGTGGCTTTATAGAAAACAATATTTTTTCCAATTATTGGATTAATGTTAAATTATGTGCTAAGACTTGAGAATTTTTCTTCTTTGAAAAGCTATTTTTGGCTTGACTTCTGAAGGAAATTTACAACAGACAGACCAGCTATTAGGAATCTCTAATGGAAAAGTCCAGGCCATTTCCTTTATCAATCATATGCTAGAAGCAGTTACATTTTAATGTTGTAATAGAAAGAAAAAACATACTAATCTAGTCTGGACTTGTTTTTCAAGTAAATATTTTTATTAAAAACAAAATTGCACAAATAGTTCCAATCATATTATGCCCTGTTGCAGGTGGCTTTGACTGTAAATTTAGGTTGAAATATTTATTTGTTTTAATACCTTTTTACATAAGCATCACAGTAATAGATGAACGTTGCATACATATTAACTGCCTATTATACATTTTGTTTTCTTTTATGCAAATAGTTCCTGTTTACAATGTGGCATGTTTCAATGAAGAATCAGGTAAACCAATTAAATCACCCACAGTGGTGCGATATAAAAACTGATTTGTAGCTATATGATAATGTACTTTATTTGTCAGAGTAGTAGAGAGACTCATACTTCAGATTTGATTCAATATACTAGGCAAAACTATTTGCAAATTATAAGAGGAGGTAAGATTGATTTATGGTGCCTTTATCTGTTCCTGTTAATGGAATAGATAATGCTTGTTTTATATTTTTTTTTTTCAAGAGCAAACCATGTGCATTTTGTTATGTTACCTTTTTTGATGTGAATTTCAAGACAGAGAGAGCATAATGTGCGTTTTCTGCATTGGGTATAGAAAGCTGTATGACTTATGGAAGAACAAACTACAGCTTGTGAACACCCACTAATGATTGCTTTTTCATTTTTCTCAAGATGTGACAAAGGACAGATTTTGCCTGGAGAGTTCTTTGACACATTGTGTGTAATATTGCTTTTGTTGTAAGCTTTCTGTTTCAAAGAAAGCAGTCATGTTCTATATGTAAATTATGTGAATAAATAATTTTATATCACTTTGTGTTTGGTATTGAATATTTAAGCATCAAGGGTGGTGGGGAGAATCATGTTCCCAGGCCCTTCTGAAAGTGTTCAGGCTTTTAGTGCATACTGTACACTCATGCACAGAATCCTTTTGGAGCATTGGACCTCTGCTACAGTGGTTCTAAAATGATATTGCACTTGGCTTAAAACTCAATATAGGGAGATGAGGATAACTGCAATCTTTTAAAAGGACTTCTAGCTGTGAAATTCTTGTGTGAAAAAGGCTTTCTTAAGCGTTAGCATACTGAATTATCAAAGCTATAGCCATATTATATTTACATGATTAGTTCCTTCAAGCCCTGCACCAGTTATAGTGTGGCATTTGACATCACAATCATTTTTATAGCAAGTGTTATGCAGTATTTTTCATCAGGGTCAAAATTAAAAAAACTTCATTCAAACACTTTCAATAATAAATACTAGTGATTATGTATTTACTTCTTTCACAGTATAAAATCACTTCAACTTGCACACTACAAGGAGCAAACTGCAGCATTTCTTCTTGAAAATTAGGAATAACTGCATTCCATAAAGCTACACTAATAGTGGAAGGGGAAGTATGCAATAACTGCATATCAACATCTGCACTCAGCAGTGTCCCTTGTTGCAACTGGGCATCTGTTAGTCTGGTAAATATTGGTTTCCAATGGAGATTCAAATTAAAACCTTGAGTAACCCATAGGTATTTGTTTAGTTTGTTGTGATACAGGAATCATTATTAATAATGTAAAGTAGTAAGTAGTGAAGAACAAGTTTGCATTGAATGGTCTAAAGCAGGAATTCTCAATCAGGGTGCCTTGAGACCCTTTCAAGGGTGCCACACAATATTGGCACAGTTTAGTGTGCAAATGTGATTAACAAGATAAACCCAAATATCCTGCCCTGTTGAGCTTTTGGAGTTCTTTGCAGCAGAAGAATTACTGTTTTTTTTGTAATTCAAAAAAGAATGATAACTAAGGGCTGATGTTTTCTAAGGGCTCCCTTGAGACTACTGGGTTTTGCCTTGAGTCTAGGAAGACCCTTAAGAACCAGTGCTCTAGTTTTACTTCTGAGTGGGCCCATCTACGTGAGACTTTTACTATATGCTAATGAATTCCACAGTAAAACATAGCATGTGTACATGTGTGCCCCTATTATGCTGGAGTAAACTATTTAAATATAAGTACTGTCTTGCTGCTGTGTGGTTTTTGGTTTTTGTGGGTTTTTTGTTTTTTTTTTTACTCTGCAGCAGCCATGTGCAGACACTGTCCTGGCTGGCTGGGGCACAAGGGTGCTTCAGTTCAGGGGCTGCCTGCCAGCTAGCCACACACTGAAGCACCCTCGTGCCCCAGGGAGCCCCTCCAAAGTGGGCTACATGTTTACTAATGTGCAATAGTTACTGCACATTTAATTCAGTCTTTGCTTAATCAAGTACTAACTAAATGCGCAGTAACTAGTTACCATGAATGGCACGTGCCCCTGGTGGCTGGGGGGGCACGGCGGCGGGAGTAAGCTGGGGAGCTCCCAGACGCTGCTGGCACTGTCAGCAGCGGGGAGGGGGGTGGCAAGCGCTGACCAAAGGTCGAAGACCACCCGCGGCCACTGGGGAACCAGTGGGGTGCACATGCACCCCCTATGTCACCCCTGAGACTTACTGTACAGTAGCACCTGCAAACACCTTTTTAGTGACACTACTGCACAGTGTTGGTAGGTTTCTGTGCATTAAGCATCTCGCGTAGAGCTGCCCACCATGTTGGGCCAAGGGGAACAGCCCCAGACTGGCAGGCTGACCCCTCCCCAGGCCCCTGCCCGTTGGCTCAATGTGGTGTAGTCCCGGGCACAAGTGTAAACGGTGCCCCTGGGAGCAAGAAACTCGGTCGTAATAAGCACTGGAGTTTAGTGTTGCCCAAATGTGGACGTGCACAGCTAACATGCAATACACCTGTGAGAAGCACAAGGCGGGCCAGGAGGAGCGTCTAAAGCAGGTTGCTAAGGAAAACAGTGTGTCCCAGGTCGGTGGCTCCTGGCCCCTCTGTCCCGCGCGAGGCTCGGCTCGGCTCCTTCCTTCACCGCAGAAAAAAGCGCCAGGGGCCGCTCGGCACGGGCAGGGGCAGGCCTCACCCAGCCGGGCAGGGAGGCGTCGACCCTGTGGACTCCTGACTGATCCCGGGATCGCGGGCGGCGCCGGCCCGTCCTTCGGCCGGTCTCCCA